GGTTGAGCAAGTCCGCTCACACTCTCAGCTTCCCCGTGGGCAGAAGTGCATGCACTACCCGCGAGCTGATGTGGGTTGAGCATCGAGCGCCATCCTTGGCACACCTAATCGATGGACTGGGAGATGGTATCAGACTAGCTGCCAGAATCCACAGGGCAAGGAATCCAAACAGGGAGCAAGAGAGACCCCATCGTGCTCAGACAATCAGACGGACACCTGGCGGCCCCGTGGCAGCGCAGAGAAAGCCCGCCTCCGTCTTCCAGGAACTACAGATGTTGGACCCAAAGAGAAACGGAACCACCCACAGTCTGGCCCCCTGCGCTCGCAGGTGACAAAGGAGCATGGGTATGGATCAAGCACACCCAGGGCGCAGTCTGCTGAAGCTCCACACTTCGTATGGCCGCCCTGGGAGGAGAGGAGTTCTGGAAGGGGGGATAACCTGCTTGAGGTTGCACAGGCAGCAGGTGACAGAGAGAGACCCAGGGGCTTCCTCCCGCCCCCGGGAGCGTGTTCTGCCTTTCGTGTCGTTCTCACAAGGCGAGGAAAAGTAAGTTCTGGTGGAGTGGGAACAACCGAAAAACCGGACAATATGTATGAGATAATGGTTTCCCGACACTGGACAGGAGTCCCAGGGAGAAGGGAAACGAGTGTGGGCAGGCTTCGAGGCGTCCCGGCTTACGACCAGTGACGCTGGGGACATAGAGGCAGCCGGACACATGAGTTGCCAAAATGGACATGAGAAGACGCAGAAAATCTGAACGGCCCCACATCTATTAAGGAAATTGAATTCTTAATTTAAAAATATTCCAACAAAGAAAAGGCCGGACCCAAATGGATCGACTGGTGGGTTCTATCAAACTTTTCAGAGGAATCCTGCCTCTATTGCATAACTTTCTCATACCAGAGAAGCTGAACGAACACTTCCTAACTCATTTTAGGAGGCCAGTTTAACTCAGCAGAAGAGTTGACAAAGGCATTACATAAAGAGAAAATTGTAGCCCAGTATCTGATACAGAATAGCCTTGGTGTAATCTTAGTGGATTAAAGCCAGAACCGCCTCCCGGGTCAACACGTCATGACAAAGTGGGTTCATCCCAGGATGGCAGTGTTGTTTTAACGCTCGAAAACCAATCCCGGTGATTCACTACATTAACAGGATAAAGAAGAAAAATAGTTTGATGCTATCAATCAAGGGAGAAAAAACATAAGATAAAACAAGACGCCAGTTCCTGATAGAAACTCTCAGCAAACCGGGAACAGAACAGAATGTTCTCCACCTGGTAGGACACGTCCGCGAAAACCCTACAGCTCGTGTTATATTTAATGGGGAGATACTGATCCCCACAGGATCAGGGACAAGGCAAAAACAACCACAGTGACTTATTCTATTTATCCTTATCCTGGAGATCCTAGAGATTAAAATAAGGCAAGAAAAATAAGTAAAAAGGCACATAGATTGAAAACAATTTAAGTAAATTAGCACAACTCACAAGGTTGTGGTGCAGAAAGGAGTTAACGGAACAGCCTGGACTGTTGTCCTGGGAAAGGCCTGCCTGCAAACGTGGCCCTTGAGTGGCATCTGGGACTCAGCTCTGGGCAGAGGCCTCCCCCCCCCCCCATTGGAACTGGTAGGTGCAAATAATACGGTTTCTGCTGAACACCTGCCTTCCTTCTGGAAGTCAGGACTCCTCGTACACACCAAGCAGAGGCTGTGTGACCCACCTTCAGGGAGAACACTGGGCCTGACTCTCTAATCTCTTCCCCGGCGGCAAGCCCCTGGGCCCCGCTAGACATCGCCCCATGCGTCTGCTCCTTTTGCTGATTTTCATTTGGTTCAGATTTTGGTTCGTTTCATGTAATATGCTGATCCTGTGAATTCTCCTGGTGAGTCACGGAACCTGAGTGTGGTCTTGGGGACCCCCTGACGCAACTGTGTGTGTCCAAAATCCAGGGGAACCCGTAAAACAGCCACTAGAATGAGTAAGTGAATTTAGCAAAACTGTAGGATACAAGGTCAAAATGCAAAAAACCTAGTAAAAAAAACACAAAAATAAAGATTTTTTCGATAAAATTTACTAAAGCATCCAAAAACACAAAACACTTAGAATAAAATTTAATTAAAAAAAAAGTCAAGACTTGCTGTATACTAATAGCTACAAAATATTTCTGAGAGAAATTAAAGAGGACCTAAATAAGAATGGATATATTCTGTATTGGACAATTCGGTCAGGTGACAAGGCACCTTATAGTCAAGAGGGGAAAGAAGGGTTTTTTCAATAAAAAATGTTTGAAATTAAAAAAACAATAAATACAAACTTTGGGGTCATACGGGTGCCCAGATGGAGAAGAGTGAATCTTGACTCCAACTCATATCATATAAAAAATTGACAGGGACCACTAGCTAAATGTAAAATGTAAACCAATAAATCTTTTTTTTTTAAAGATTTTACTTTTTTTCTTTTTCTCCCCAAAGCCCCCCGGTACATAGTTGTATATTCTTCGTTGTGGGTCCTTCTAGTTGTGGCATGTGGGACGCTGCCTCAGCGTGGTTTGATGAGCAGTGCCATGTCCGCGCCCAGGATTCGAACCAACGAAACACTGGGCCGCCTACAGCGGAGCGCACAAACTTAACCACTCGGCCACAGGGCAAGCCCCTAAACCAATAAATCTTTTTTAAAAAAATAAGAGAGTGATCTTGGTTAGGCAAAGCTTTCCTAAGCAGGACAATGAAAGCACTAACCACAAAAGAAAAAGAAAAGGAATTGGCTTTCCCTGAAGTCGAGAACTTCGTTTCACCAAAAGCAAATGTTAAGAGTGAAAAGGCCGTTTACAAGGAGGGAAGAGATTTGCCATCACACTTCCACCCGCCAGAGGACTGACTCACGCCCAGAAGATACAAGAGACTCCTACAAATCGTGAAGACCATGACAAGGTAATTCTTAAAATTGAGAAAGACGCTTGAACAGAATGACCAATGAGCATATGAAAACGCGCTCAACATCATGAGTCATCCGGAAAATGCAAATGAAAACCACAGCTGCTGGGCCTCCCCCAGAATGGAGAAGAACAGGCTGGAGGCCCGCTTGTGGGTGAGAATCTGGAGCAGCAGGAATGTCCTCACGTTGCGATGGGGGTGCAAATTGGTACAAGCCCTTGGGGAAGGTGTTTGGCTGCATCTCCTAGAGCCAAGCATTGGTAATCCTCGGAGCTAGCACCCATACTCGTGGTTGCTTCCCAGGGATGAAACGCTTATGCTCGTCAAAAGACACGCCCAAGAGCGTTCCCAGCGGCATCATTCCTGAATAGCGAAAAGAAAATGGGAAACAACCCAAGTGTCCGTCAAGAGTAGAATGGATAAATGATGGTACAGCCACACAGTGGAACACAGCGCAGCAATGGAGAGAAACAAACAAACCTTCAAGGGCTACACACAGCATGTGATGGCTCACATGCATGACATTGAGTGAAGGAAGCCAGACCCCAGTGCGTACACCGTATGACTCCATTGATATGGTTCCCAAGGACAGCCAACACTCATGGTAGCACTGAAGACAGGGAGTGGGTACCTCCAGGGGCCAGGCAGCTGGGTAAACGATGTGGAAGGGGAGAGCGTACCTTCTGGGGACTAGAAACACTCGGTGTCTTGATCTGGTTACACGGGATCAGGCAAATGTCAAGAGTCATCCTATTGTACGCTTACAATGTATACCCTTTATTCTATGTACATTGTGTCTTTCAGGAAGAGAGGAAACAAGCCAGGCAGCTCATTCAAAAGAACCCACGGAGGAAGACGCTGGGCGGAGCGTCACCAGCAGGCACAGAAAATAAAGCCATGCAGCGGGTTTTGGGGAGAAAAGTGCCAGGCAGGGGCAGCTGGAGCCGCAGCTTTTTGTAGAGACCCTCTGGGAACAGAGGAAGCCGACGGTGGGCCGAGGGTTCCTGAGCAGATGGACAAAAGGGGAAACACAAACCCCCTCCTCTAAACGGTGACCCATATTCATCTCACACAGACCGCAGGACAGGCACTCCTCCAGGCCTCTCCGGGCGGGGACTCACTCGCTCCTCACCCCGACCCTAGGAGATGGGTGTGATGTGGGCCATTCCTCCCACTCACATGGGAGGGCACAGGAGCTCCAAGTCCGGGTGTTTTCTCTCGATCAGGCAGCTGTGACTTCTCTCTCCTCCTAGGCTCTTGGTCGTAGCCTCCTATCTCTTTTTATACATAGAATTCTGTTTCCAAGCCCTCCGCGCTTACAGCAGCAAATGTGGAGGGAAAAGAGGATTTCTCCTGTTGGGTCCCGGTCCCCAGTGATGAGAGTCAGCATCCACGGGGCCATTCCGGGGTGTCCGTGGAGATGGCATGAGGAACTGGGTCCCTGACATATGGAAGCAAGGCTGTTAGGGTTAACTACCCCACGGTGGCCTCCATGTCCTCGTCCCAATGCCACTGTGCCTCTAAGTAAGCCCAGGGTCCAGAAGTCCAGTCGCCTTGTGTAAGGGCAAGCCTGCCGTCCCGGATGGGATGGGTGAGGCATCCTCACTGAGCCGCCCTCCTCCCTTCCACATGGGATGTGCGCTGTCCTTCCAGTCCACGTGCTGGGATGTCCTGCCCACAGAGGAGAACTGTAGCCTCTTCCGTCCTTGCCTGGTCCAGGCTGGGACACCGGGGCCCTCGTCCAGTGTACCACCCTCCCCTGCCCAGCGCTGAGGGCAGCTCCACCCAGCAGTCAAGTCTCTCTCCAGAGCCCAGGCTTCTCCATCCAGGCAAAGGCCACAGAGGGGTCGAACTGGGGCTGGGGTCCCCGTTGTCTTGCTTGCGGTAGAACAGATCCCTGGAGAGCCCCAAACAACTGTAAGGGGGACACAGAAAAAGTAGAAAGGCAAACATACAAACTAAAGATGACACATCAGGGCCATTTCAGGCCGGGACTGGTGCCCCAGTGCAAGGCCCCTGAGGTCACCATATTACAGCACAGTGCAATTGTTGTGCATAATGGTGGCCCCAAGCCACCAGGGAAAGGTGACCTTGCACCCAGCAGCCTTGGTTAAGAAGGCAGAGAGGTCTGTAATTTCCTGTAGAGATGCTTGCGTGTTTAAAAGTGTTGTGTTCTGTGAAGTTTCAGTTGGCCGGACCACTCAGTCGTTCGGAGGGTGGTCTCCCTGGCGGAGACGGGTGGAGAGGCGGCCAGCGGGTCACCCTGGGGATGGTTTTCACGCAGTTCTTTTCAGTAGCTCTGTTTTGGCCCAGGTGCTTTCACTGTCTAATTAAAGTCTTTGGGAAACGTCTTCTTTTTTTTAAACAGGAAGAGGAAATGCCATTGAGCAACACCAACAATTGCTGAAAACCGCAACCCCCCCGGAGAACCACGCCCTCAGACACCACATCTCTTCCAGGGACGCAAAGGTGAGAGGGGGTACGGTTGCACACTCGCGAGCAAGGTGTGCTTTGAGAGTTTTAACTTTATTATGTACGAAAATTATGGTTTCACCCAAAGCTGAGATTCTACTGAAAACTATTCTTTGAAAGCTCTCCCCTGAACAGTGAAACATTCTTATCACGTGCTGCGTTCTCTCTCGATGCTTCTTTTTACTTTCTTCCTCCAGCTATGAAAAAAGACTTCTTTCTATGTGAGGATTGAACCAAATTACTACTGTGGCCCCGTTCAATTCTAAAAGCGTCTGGACTTCTGGAATTTCTCTGGGTGTGTGCAGGCTCAGGCTCCAAGCCCCCAGAGTCGGGGGCTCCTGGCGGAAGCAGGAATGTGCCCTGGGTTTCTGTTAGCACGTCTAAACACAGACCCCGAAGTCCTCGTCGAAACAAGGGCTCTGAGGAGGAGAAGGCTCCACCTTGTACTGCTCATGGCCGCTTGTAAATGAAAATAAGTTGGAATTTTCTCCCAAATGTGTATTTGAAATTCATAAGCATTTGCATTTCTTGCCAGCGACACAAGCCAGGTGACGCTTCTGCAAATGAGGAGGTCCCTAATGGAGATCTAAGCATCAACACAGCAGAGTCTGGGTTGGACAACAACAGGAATGCAACTGGACCCAGATTTCATCAATATGCTTTTGCCTGCCCCTTCCTACGGGCATCGTCCAGGCTGGAATTGACACCTCATTGTTGACATGCCCTATAGAAGGCGAATTTGGCCTCCGACAGATCAGGAGATACGAGCGAAGGTGGAGACAGGGCCCCCGATAAATTTCAGTCCAGCAGAGAAGGGTGGTCTGTGCCGAAATGGTGAACCTTTGGTCTGGATGGCGGGCTGGGTGGTAGAAGCCAAAGAAAGTGAGTGAAAAGCTGTTTTGGGTGGAAAATGCTAGGAACTGGAATAACATCGTCCAAATTGAATTTACTAGAGCTCTTCAAGTTTGAAAATATCAGGAATGCTTTCTGGCCAGAAACGATATCTGGCGCACGCTAGGTCTGCTACAGTTTCTTGAATGAATGAATTGATGGGGAATCAAATCCATCATGGAATTTCCATCATGGAAGCTTCTGTCGGTGTCTCTGTCAACCCACTTAATCAGAGGTGGACTCTCTTTTTCTGAACAGGGCCAGTTAGTAAATACTTCAGCCTTTGTGGGCATAGGGTCTCTGTCGCAGGTGCCCGACTCTGCCATTGTAAGGAGAAAGCAGCCACAGGCGGTGTGTAAACAAATGGGCGCAGCTGTGTTTCAATAAAACTTTATTTACCAAAACAGATGGCGCGCCAGATTCGGCCCCTGGGGCTATAGTTTGTGGACCCCTGCACTCGATGACTCGTTGCTTCTACAGGACACAGACTGCATCTTCGTGTCCTCTCAGGACCCAGAAGTGGATGTTTTAGTTAAGTACAAATGTTTTGAAACTGCCTTTCCCTTTTGCCGTAGTACTTTAGAAACTTTTTTTTAAATGTTGTTACATTACTATGTATCGTGTTAGGAGTAAGTTTGCTGCAGAAGGAAGAGTAAGGGAAATGAGTCCTTCCCAGAACCTGGAGTGGGAGCCAGAGCCATGAGAGCTGCGGTCTAGTGAATGGCCACCAGGGGACACCCAGGGCACACGGGAAACCAAGCTGCTGTGCAAAAAGAAATGAAGAGTAACATCTCCCAGGGCCCACAGTCTGGTGGGAACCCCACGAAAGACTCCCGACCCTGGGTGGTAACTGCCCTCGTACTCATCTGACCACTAACCTCGGCCCCGCCTTTCTGCTCCCCGACCCCAGCGCCCGTAATTCATCAGGAAACGCTCATTGACGAGCCTGGCTGCTGGATCACCCGCACGGCCGGCCGGGCTTGCCTCAGGGAAGCCTGGCCGTTTAAACCCGACACAGAGGGACCAACTGTCCCAGTGAGCCCAGGACTGACAGGTTTCCAGGGACGCGGTTCTTTCCACGTTAAAACCAGGAAGATCGAGACAAATCCAGACGAGGTGGTTCCTTCACTCAGACTTTGTTACTTAAATATAAGGGCGTGGTGTTGCTCTGACACTCTGTACCGGCTCCGAACATCTTGTACGCCTTTGGGAACATTTAATTTATTTCGGAGGGGCGCGAGGAAGGTTGGACTTCATGCTCCACAGCCGCCCAGCTCACCCACGGGTCTCGTGGGGCTGCAGGTGTGCTGCTGGGTGACTCTGAGCCGGTCTCGAATCTTGCTGAAGGCAGATTAAATTAGTAAAATAAGGCTTCGAAGCAGCTGTTGGTCCCCAAAAGGCTGGGAGTGAGGATAAAAGAAAATGCTTTTTAAACGTGAGGATCAACAGTCACCTGTAATCAAAGATTCCTGCAGTCAAAGTGTTTGTGTTTTCTTGTCTTATCTTACCACCTGCAGGGCTTTCTTAAAACAAGGTTGCTGGACCCCACCCCCAGCACTTCTGACCCCCTAGATCTGGGGTGAGGACCGAGGACGGCATTTCTAACAAGCGGAGTTAATCCTGCCGGTCCGGGGGCCGCACTTTGAGAACTATGGTCATGGTGTTGAGGGTGTGAAGTCTAGACGAGGGGTTGTAAACTTTTCTATGAGGGGGTCACGCAGTAAATATTTTAGGCTCTGTGACCTCAGCTACTCAGCTCTGCCACGGTAGCCCCAAAAGCAGCCATCGATAATATGGAAACAAATGGGCGTGGCAGCATGCCAATAAAACTTTACTTACAAAAACAGTTAGTGGCCAGATTTAGCCCACAGGCAGTAGTTTGCCAAACCCTGGTTTAGGACTATTTCTGTGTGACTTTCAACAATATCCTTAGCTTCTCTGTGTTCTCCATGCCCTGCGTACTGGGGAGCCGATGAATGTGAGCCAGTTGACAGCAGGTCATGGAGGTCATGGGCCATTTATCTGGAATACAGAGGCCGTGGAGCAGATGTGTCAGTCAGCTTTTGCTGCATAACAACCACGCCAGACTTAGTGGCTTTACAACAACAACCATCTTATTATTACTCACCAGTCTACAGGTTAGCTGGGTATTTATTCCAGTCTGAGCCAGTTTGGTCTCTGCTGGGCTCTCTCGTGCATCTGGGCTCACCTAACAGATCGCCTAGTGCCGGACTATTGAAGGTGGTCTCCAACACCTGTCTAGTGGGTGGGTGGTTGGTCGCTGGGTGCCTCAGTTCTCTTCCACATGGCCTCTCCTTCTCCAAGAGGCCAGCTCAGGGTCTTAGCACAGCAAGAGAGGGGGTCGTAGTTCCTCTTGATGCCTGCATGTGTAGCTTACACAATGCCACCTCCATTGCAAGTTTTTGGTCACAGAAGTCACCAGTCCAGCCAGATTGAAGAATGGGAAAAGAGGCTCCCCACTGTAGTAGGAGAAGCTGCAAAGAATTTCTGGCTGTTGGCAAGTTAGAGCTCAGACTGAGAGGCGGGATACAGGGTCAGGCTGCCCAGGACTGAGTTTTCCCTCCAGCTCTCAGCAGCTGGAGGTCTTCCTTCAGCCCCCTCTGCCCGTCTCCTCATCAGAAAATTGAGACGGATGGTGCCCTGCCCCACAGGGCTGCTGGGAAGCCTCAATGAGTAAACCTAGAACGGCGTCTGGTCTGAGAAAGTCCTCTCCGCGTGGGGGCTGTTACTAATGTCTCGGGGAACCCCCACAGACATAACAGCAGTGGGGGGATAAAGAACTGAAGACATTCAAGACCATTTGGAAGACACCTTCCACGTACTTCTCCTGGACTCTGAGCTCCAGCTTGTCTGCGTCCCTGTCTGGAATCTGTCCGACTCTTCCGAAGCCAATTCCCGATGCCGCCTCCTTTGTATGGCCCCTATCACACCGGATTAAAGTGACTTTTCTTTTATCACAAACGTCTTTCTCCTATGAGCCGGGAACTCCCTGAGGGCAGGGCCAGCGTCTGGAGCAGAGCCTGGGGTCACGTCTGTGGGAACATCCACCCACAGCCCCATTAAGTCCTTTAGGGCCTCTTTCTCCCCATTTCCTATCAGAAGCATTGAAAACCAGCCAGTGTCATTTTCCACGAAAGAAAGGACTTTTAACAGGAAGCATGGAAACGCGGCCTGTTCTGTCCCCTTACAGCTGCGTGTGGTCTTTCTTCTGGGACATTGCCACACGGAGCTTGGTACATAATTTTCTTAAGAAAAACAAACAGGAGCCACCTTCTGTCAATCCTATTTCTCATGAGAAGGAATCCCCTTCTGAGGGCATCAGGGGTGAGCCAGCTCGATGTGGGGGTGAGAGGGGCTCCCCAGGAGTTCGTCCCTGCACTTAGAGAGACCCAGGAGTGGCCAAAGCTATATAATGAGTCAGTGTTCCACACACGTTTGCGGGATTGAATTATGCTTTATCATCAGAAGGGGCCAAGATCGCAGAAATTCTGCAGAGTCAGCAGACAGATACATCATCTCTCTTTCTGCGAGGATCATTTTGAGATGGACTCCTTCCTAACAAATGGACTAGGTGAAGAAATGGCTGTCTGAACTTTGAGAGGATGCAAGAATAGAAATGATTACCTGTGTGTCTGTCTGTCTATCTATCTATCTATCTATTGATCCATTCATCCTAGGAATCACACAACTCTTTAAAAAGACTTCAGCCTACTGACTTATCTTCCAATTCTATGTTCTTCCAACATCCCCTTCATACACACGCACACTCGTGCATGGGTGGGTGCGTGCACACTCACCCATTTCAACCTCTCCCATTTGGGAAATTCAAATTACTCAAAACATCATAAGGATAAATCTTTGATGATATCATCATGATCACTCCTTAGGTATGCATGGCACTTACAAAACACAAGCCTTTACATTAATGCTCTTCTCTGCGGCCACACCACTCAAGCAGACACAGGACCCACCAGGCACACCAAGGTCACAGGTGGGAAGAACCTCCCCTCTTCCAGCCATGGGGATGGGGGTGCCCAGGCAGGATGTGCCCGACGGTGCAATGGAATAGATGATGTCCAGGGAGG